CAGGATTACACCTCAGGCATGTATGCCAGGCCTGAGCTGTGCCTGGAGGAGGCAAGGTGAAGTAGTGGGAAGAGGAAGCTCTCCCACACACGTACAGGACCTGGGCTAGGACTGCGTCTCAGGGTTCCCGGACACCGCAGAAATTCCTACCTGGTTGGCGGGTGGGGGAGGTACTGCGGAGTGGTGAGGGTCGTCCCAAGGGAGTGGATTGAGGGTCCAGCCCACGCTGTGCCTGGGCTGGGACTGGTCCCGCCGGCGCAGGGTATCAGGAAGCTCTCCACACACTCACCTGACCTGGGCTTGGACTGGGTCTGGGGGTTCCCGGAACTCGGCAGAAATTCCTACTGGGCGGACCGGGTGGTGGAGGTACTGCGGAGTGGTGGAGGGCTGCTCAAGGGGGTGGGAGAGGGTCCGGCCCACGCTGCGCCTGGGCTGGGACTGGTCCCACCGGCTACATTTTAAATTCTTGACATAGGTCCTCAGTGCCATTTCAGGGTCCCTGTCATGTGTAGAGAATGGCTGTACCAGGCTGGACATTCACAGCCTCAGGTTACCTCTGCATGACTAGTGGATAGGTGGCATCATCCCCATTTTGCCTTTGAGGAAAATTGTGGAAGCTTATGTTGATCTATAGTGACAACCAATTATTTTTGAATAAAAGAATAAGCATAAAACCAATTGTCCACTCATGTAAAATAAGTTTTCTTGTATATGGAATCAGACAGTGTTACTGTATAATGAGACATTTGTCGCACAATTTCTGGAGTTTTACCACTATTTTACCTTCCCTGAAAGCTGAGGTTTCTGATTATTTCCATACCTAGGAGTTTTTGGATGTTCCCTGTGTGGATGCCATGTCTTCATCCAGCACACTTTACATCACAGGCTGTAGGGGTGTGCGCCGTATGTATGGTGCAGAAGGATCATTTCAAGAAAATAATAGAAACATTTCATGTTTTTAAAATTCCAGTGGCTAGCGTGTTGCTCAATAGCATTCACACAGGCCACAACCCCCAAACTGAGCATTAATCTTAGTATCTGTTTATTTATTCATTTACTTTATTTAGTTATGTGGTAAGGAGGATTGAAACCCAGGCCTTTGCTCCCAGGAGCATATCAGTCCTTTTCACTTTGTGTGTGTGTGAGAGAGAGAGAGAGAGAGAGAGAGAGAGAGAGAGAGAGAGAAATAGTGTCTCACTGAATTATTAAATTGCCATGGCTGGACTCAAGCTTGGGGTTCTCCTGCTTCAGGCCCTTAGAGTACTGGAATTATAAGTGTGACCACCACACATGACTCTGAATTTTTTTTTTGACTTAACTCTTTTTTGCAATTTTGTTAAAAGAATTCATACTGCATGAAAATAGTGTGTGTGTGTGTGTGTGTGTGTGTGTGTGTGTGTGTATTTTATCTCATCTTTCCTGAGAAAGGAAAAGATTCTTTGGATTGATTCTTTGGATTAGAAAAAAATGCCCGAGCATCACCATTTAGCTTAATTCTCAAAATGCTCAAGGATGAATACCAGTACTTCATTATTTGAAATTTCTCAGACTGGGGAGATAACTTGGTGGTCTAAGTGCCTGCCTGGAAAGCTCAAGGACTTGATTTCAATCTCTGGTACCCCATGCCATGCTGGCCACTGAAACTGGGAGTTGTGCACACCTGTAGTCCCAGTGCTGGGGAGGCTGAGACAGGAGGATCACTATGAATCCAAGCTGCACAGTGAGGCCCTGTACCCAACAAACAAACCAATAAACAAATAAATAAAAGCTTAAAAAATTAAAAAGAAATTGCTCAGCAGGAGAGTAGTTTAGTTATTCTGGGGGCTCAAACACTCCTTTGTAGCTTTTCTAACCTGTGCAACCATGAAACTGCATTTGAACCATGGGTACTATAGGAACTCCTGACTTTATAGCTTTATCACAAGGCTGTAGATATAGCTGAATAGATTAGGAAGTAGGTCTTTAATATAACTAGATTCATTACTCCCATCTCTGAGTATGTTACACAACATATTTGAAATCAGTGTGCTGAAGTGATAGCTGCAGTCTCATGTTCATTACAGTACTGCCCACAATAGCCAAGTTCAGGATTTAGACTAAGTGTCCTTTTCTAGATGAAGCAATCCGTGTGTGCAGCAGTGTGTGTACACAATAGAACACTTACCTTAAAAAAATTGTTACTTCTTGTAACGTGGGTGGAAGTAGACAACACAATGCAAAGCAAAACAATCCAAAAACATAAAAATAAGGTTCTCACTTATGTAAGGATTCTGAAAAAAAAAAAAATCAAACGTTTAGAAGTAGAATGGAATGGTGGTCACCAGTAGCTGGAGCTTGAGAATGAGGTGATCCTGGGAAAGGGGTACATCATCTTGGCTACCCAGGAGAAAGAAGGCCTTTAAAAACAAATTTGAGATTCATGTTAGAGTGTAATTTTTCCAATAAATAATAATGTATGCCTCAAAATTGCTGATTTACTTACTAGCACAGCCTGCCATGATAGAACACCATAGACTGGGTGATTACCCCATAGAAGGTTTATTTTCCCCTCAGTTATGGAGTCTAAAGTCAGGTCAGAGTTTTGGCACAGTAGAATGAGGTTCCCTGAGGTTACTGTCCTGGCTGCAGGTGATCACTCTCTCCCTGCACCCTCTCATGGCACAGTATGTCTTCTGTTTCTTCGCCTTCTAAAGCCATAAATCCCATTTTGAGGACTCCATTCTCTCAACCCCATCTTACCTCTCAAAGGACCTTCCTCCTCCTCGTAGCATTGTTACACTGAGGGTTCAGCCTTCAGGATGTTAATTTCAGGAGAACATAGCCCCACAGTTTGGTGCATAGTAACTGAAGATCATGCATTTGAAAGTGTGTCCTAATATGAAGTCACAGTCCTCATGGAAATAGACAAGGCACCTCATAGGGTCATGACCATGCTTCTCTCTCTGCTTTGGCCAGGAGAGTTGTAGCATATGTATGCTTTGTACTATTTAAAGTTATATTACTTGTGGAATAGATTTTTGTGGGTAAAATATTGATCTAAGTGAATTAACTGTGGTGCCTTGTTTCTGTTATGTCCTTGCAGAGCCTCGATACTCTTTGTGCTGACAATCTACCAGAGTTTCAGCTTCTTGGCAGCAGTGGAAACATTTGTGTTAGAGAAGAAGCTCTTTATGTGAGTAAGCCTCTGCTCTGTCATCTCTGACTATTGGGCAAACCGGTGTCACTGCCAGAACTCAAGAATAGCAAGTCTCAAGGTCCCTTGTCCTGTTCTTTTCTTTTCACTTCTTTTCTTTTTCTGTATGTGCTTAATTTACAAAAATAATTTTATATATTCACCATGTATAATACAGTACTAGATTTTGATTCCTGAATTCTTTTTTCTTATGTACTTAGTACAGGGTCTGCAGAGTCTCACTACACAGATCAGACTCATAGTGATCCCCCTGTTTTCAGCCTCCCAAGTGCTGGGATTACAGATGTGCAACACCACGTCCAGTCTTGATTGTAGTCTCAGCATGTGGAGGGTGGGGCGGGGCAGGCTGGAGCAGCACACCGGGGATTGAACCCTGGTCCCTGAATCTGCCTGAGCAGGCCCTTTAATCCGATGAGCTATCTGGGTGGATTTTGTAATCAGTATGGGAATGACCAATGTTAACAATCAAAAAAGACATCGGTGGGATGGAAGAATCAAAAGCATGTAGGCCTTACTACCAAGAGAATGGAATTGTAAAACTGGGATATGGTTGATAATTCCCAGGGCTGCAGAGCAAACAAAGGGTTGAAAAGCATTTTTTGCTTGTTCATTTCAGTAAACAATAAGTCATGATGACCTTTGTCAAGAAAAGTTTAAGAAGCTTGTTGGAGATTAAGTAGTAGATTCAGCAGCAAATTGCCATGGGAGTCAAAGCTGACAAAGAATTCACCAGGTTTAGCCCTTGATGGAAAAATGCAGACTCAGAGAGCAGGTTTCTAGTCAAAAGTGGTCTGATTTTGCTTCATGTGTTTTTCAAAGATGGAAGAGATTTGTCTACGTTTATGTGTCAAGGAAAGGAATCATCAGAGAAGGAAGGAATAAGGATATGGCCAACAATTTTGTAATTATGGGAGATTTATGTCAGGAGGAGAAAAGATTAGGGTTTGGTAGCTGTCAGACCTGTTTGTTAGGTGTATGATTGCTAAAAGAAGTCTATGTCTTTTCTTTCTTTCTTTCTTCTTTCTTTTTTTTTTTTTGTATTTTTAGTAAGAGTCTATAGGGTTTCACTACGTAGATCAGACTCATGGTGATTCTCCTGTTTTCAGCCTCCCAAGGGCTGAGATTACAGGCATACACCACCACATCCAGTCTCCATTTCCTTCTCAGCATGCCCCAGGGGCAGAGCTCGCACAGCATGCCAGGGTTCGAACCCCAGCTGGATCGAACCCCAGCCTCTGTGTTTGCGGAAGCAGGCACTTTAATCCTCTGAACTATTTGGCCAGCCCATCTTTTCTAACATGAAAGTGGCAAAAGTAAACAAAATTTAGTGATTTGAAGCTGCATTGGGAGCCTTTGAAAGTAGCATCCTCTTCACAATAAGAAGTGTGGAGAAATAAAGGCACCATCAGCACTGAAATTAGGCCCCTGACATGTTGTTCTTCACACAAAGAGGAGAAAGAGTCTCAGGAGAATGAGATGACTCAGACTTTGTGCTCCTGGAAGGAGATTTTAGGACAGTGCAAGCTTTTAGGAAAGCTTCAAGATGGAATGCTGTAGTGAGGGCAGTCATGGAAAGTACTATCTGGGGGTGGCATCCTGGGTGCTGGCAATAGGGATGGAGGCAGCCTCGAGGATGTGGAAATAGGGTGTGTTAGGCCCTGGATATGACAGAAGACTGTATGGCATGCAGGTCTAGTATGTGCTTTCTGAAACTAATCTGAGATGTATAATGTGTGTTTTTCTTCTAAAGGCATGAATATATCAGTGGATACTATGGACTGTCATCTTACTTCCTTGGAAAACTGCTATGTGATTTACTATGCAGGAAATTGTTACCAAGTATTATATTTAATTGTACACTATACTTCATATTAGG